TCCGCCGATAAGTCCCACCCCAATCTGTGTATCAGCATGGTGAACTCAGTCCAGTACTCACGTACAGATCGGCTCCCCTGTTTGCAAGCCATTAACTGTCTGCGCACCACTCCCTTTTCAATATCGCTGGAAAACATCAGATCCATGGCGCGAAAGAACTTCATCGTGTCTTTTAAGACGTCACTATTCGCTGCCATCAGGGGTCTAACCCAGTCTCTCGCCCCCTTTTCAAGATGCCCAATCACAAAAGCCACTCGTGATTCCTCATCAGGAAATCATCAAACTGCAGATTGAGGGCATATTGCATTTCTGTCCGAAAGCTATGATAGTCTTTGGGCTCCCCCCCAAATTTTTGCACCAATCCTGGTACCTTTCTGGCGAGCTGGGTGGCTTTCTCCCTTTGGTCTGCATCTTGAGCCCTCCTCTCCTCCAGCCTCGCCGTCTGCAGCGCCAGCTGGACCTCTAACACCCGGTACCTTTCTTCCAGGCTTGGACCCGCTCCAGCCCCTGCTTCTCCGGTTCCTGCTGGGTTGCTCATTATTATGCCGTCTCCTGCACAAGCTGCGTTCAAAGACTGTCGGAATGCTGTGATGGGATTATGAGCTGCTTGTGCGTAAAATCGTATTCCCTCAGAGTTTGTTCAAGTCCACAAACCTCTGTCTGTGACTGAGCCCCTCTGACATGGCTCCTCTTAGTCACTAGAAGATTCCGACAGTGGTTGCTTTCGTAATCGCTTCCAACATAAAAGCTCCTTAACGGAAACACGTCTTCTGGACTCTCTGCGTGACAGTTTCCGGCGAGGAGTGGGTGTCGCTACAGGAGGTCCGGAAACCTCACCACTGTTTTCGCTGGAAGTATCTCTGAGCCATCCCCCAGCTCCCTTTCCCTCAGTTCAGCTTGTCTCCCCTGCTGGTTTCCTCTTCCGCTGCTGAGTCTCTTCCAACCTGTCTGAGCCCTTTCACCTCCCTCAGTTCAGCTTCTCTCCCCTTGCTGGTTCCCTCTTCAGCTGCTGAATCTCTTCCAACCTGTCTGAGTCCTTTCACCTCCCTTCCTTCCGATGGCAGTTCCCTGACAATAGGAGTGTATAAAATTATGCATGGCATGGGGAACAGTGGATTGTGAAAATATTTTCACCCTTTCATGTAAGACTAGAACTTGTGGAAATCCAGTGAAGATTCAGGACAGGTAAAAGAAAAGATTTCTTCATTCAGTGCACAGTTAAACTATGCAGGCCCATTGCCGCAGGAGACAGTGATGGTCACCAACTTGGATGGCTTGAAAAGGCTATCCATGCTTATCATCCACAGTGGCTCCACAGTCGGAGGCAGTATGCTGAAAGCCTCAGGACAGAAGAATGTTGTTGCACTCGGGTCATAACTGTGGGTTTGCCACTGGCATCTGGTTGGCCACTGTGAGAACAGGATGCTGGACAAGATGGGCCACTGGCCTGATCCAGCAAGGCTATTTTTACAACTTTTTTTTTAAATGTAGGTTTTTTTTGTTTTTAAGTTTTCCCATAAGGAGGGAAACATCAACAAAGCATATAATACCTTTACATTTTTTTCTTCTTCTTAACACAGGCTTTTGGCTTTATGACTCGTGTTGCTCTTCAGGCCGAGAAGATGAATCACCACCCTGAGTGGTTTAATGTATACAATAAGGTAATGAAATGCACCATAATATACTTATTTTCATTGGCTGGTCATACTTGAAAAACAGCCTGGAAATGTGAGTAGAGAATCTTGGCCTTATTTGTTGTTTCTGCTATCCTACGCTTGCTCTCACCTTCCTGAAAGGTGCTTCCTCCATTCACAACAGAGTATTTCAGAGTCTTGCATGCTTCTGTTAACCTCCCAGCATTGAGACTATATTTTGCTGATTTTAAGGTGCCAGTACTTCTAGGGTTGCTTGAGCGATATTAACTCCATGTTTATAAAAATCATGTATGGCACACTGAGGAAGACATTTGTGTAAATATATTAAGTATCTAATGCTGGAAACAGATGGTGGTTTTAAGAGCTGGACATTTGAGAGAGGCCTTTCCCCCTCATAACATACATCAGGAGTGAGGAGCCTGTGAGTTTCCTGATGTTGGATGGTGCTTCCCATTGTCCCTGACCATTGGCTGTGTTGCTGGGGCTGCTAAGAATTGAAGACCAAGTGCCATAGATTCCTCACCCAAGTTGTACAGACCTATTTCCTTTGTCTCACTGTTACTTTGGGTCAGACAGGTTGTGCAGCTTTTTTAAAAACTGAAGAAAGCAACTCAAAGCCTGTTTTGCCATACATGAGTTTAGGATGACCCTACAACACACCATGAGCTGCAATCCACCTTCCAAAGTAGATCTCTAAAATTTGTTTCTCTTTAGACCTCTTAAAAGTAAAAGTAAATTAAGACCTCTTTGCTTTCAAATTTTCCAAATCTAATGATAAATTAAGAAATCAGAAATTCAGACTCTTAGGAAATGTAGAATCACAATTAGTATTATTTATTAAATTTGCCCAGGGCAACCCAAAGCAACTTACAACCAAAACATGCCTCTTAGCTCTGAAATGAGGGATAGAAAACTTGTGAAGGGGGCAGGAATCTGTGAGAAAGCAACTTGAAATGAAAATCTCAGAGAAGGATCTTAAACTTATATGCTTATGATTTGGGCATTATAAAAGCTGTTTGCTAAGTTTTCACATTGCACTGTGAGAAAGGTTTGCTTGCAGATAAATATAACCCATTTTAAACCAAATCTAAGGGTGACTAAGGGACGCGGGTGGCGCTGTGGGTAAAACCTCAGTGCCTAGGACTTGCCGATCACATGGTCGGCGGTTCGAATCCCCGCGGCGGGGTGCGCTCCCGTCGTTCGGTCCCAGCGCCTGCCAACCTAGCAGTTCGAAAACACCCCCAAGTGCAAGTAGATAAATAGGGACCGCTTACCAGAGGGAAGGTAAACGGCGTTCCGTGTGCTGCGCTGGCTCGCCAGATGCAGCTTGTCACGCTGGCCACGTGACCCGGAAGTGTCTGTGGACAGCGCTGGCTCCCGGCCTATAGAGTGAGATGAGCGCACAACCCTAGAGTCTGTCAAGACTGGCCCGTACGGGCAGGGGTACCTTTACCTTTAAGGGTGACTTGTATGAGTGCAATATGCACAGCATCATTTCTGATAATAACAGACTCCTATATTTGTATTGAAAATTGATAATCAGTAGTACTGGAAAGCAAGAAGTCTGAGTTAAACATGTTTCCGGCACAGTTTTCATATCTGAGAGTTAGACAAAAATCATATAGACTTAAAGTCTCTATCACTTACCTCCCTCCACCTTTTTCCCCCCCTGCTAACAGATATTTAGCAAAGTAGCATGTAGCATTCCATTATGGAGGTGTCAATAATTCCTTGCAGGCAGCTGTATTTTACCATTAAAGGACCGATCTTGTTTGTTTTCCCTTTCAGGGCTGATCTGCAAAGTACTGCCAGCTCTTCACCGTTAGGATTCTGGTTTGAGTCGCACAACTTAGCATTTGCAGTTGAGTCAATGACTTGATTTCCTTCTGAAATCAATCTGTGCAACTCTCCCCCCCCCCCCAAACTGAGTAACTTAATTGGACACCTCTTTCTGGAAGGAGCCCAAGAATCCTAACCCTAAAGTGTTCTCTGTGCTCTGCGCTGGAGCTCTCTTTGGTTAGTCTCCAAGTTCTTTCAAGGCTGCTCACCTGACAGCTGTGTTATGTGATGCCTTTTTATTTGAAAAAGCCGTGCCATTCCAATTTACAATCAGACAGGTCTTTTTTTATTTATTTAAACCTACTGTTTGTAAATATACAAATCAAGATGTGTGTAAAAGAGTTTCAGGCTGAATCCGGATCTGGTCAGTCTGCATTAGACCACATGGGCTGGCGAATTATATATATTTTCTTTTCTCTTGTTAAAACAGGTCCAGATAACTCTCATTTCCCATGACTGCGGTGGACTGACGAGCGAGATGTCAAGCTGGCTCAGTTTATTGACAAAGCTGCTGCATCTGTCTAACAAATGAATGCCGAAATCATCACAAAATAGCATTTCCTTCAAAATATTTTTCTTTGCATTGTTATGAGATGCTTGTTCAGTCCTCTCTCTCTCTCTCTCTCTCTCTCTCTCTTTCTTTTTGAAAATTGATTTCAAATTTCTCCATTGCTTCCGGGGCTGAAGAGTAAGGAAAGAGAGATTCCTTAGGCATGTCCTCATACAGTGGTGCCTCGCAAGACGAAATTAATTCGTTCCGCGAGTTTTGTCGTCTTGCGATTCTTTTCGTCTTGTGAAGCACGGTGTCGGGAAAGTTTTGGAAAAGCTTCAAAAATCACCAAAGTCTTCAAAAACCTCAAAAAAGGCTACCACACACCGCGTTCTATGAGTTGCTCCTCGAAGTCAAGTCGCAACTGTATTAACGGTGTTAAGAAAAAGCAAACAAACTTGCAAGACGTTTCCGTCTTGCGAAGCAAGCCCATAGGGAAAATCGTCTTGCGAAGCAGCTCAAAAACAAAAACCCTTTCATCTAGCGAGTTTTTTGTCTTGCGAGGCATTCGTCTTGCGAGGTACCACTGTATCCTGTAATGGAGAAGACACAGATCAGCTTGAGAACTGCAGCCCAAATTTCTGATACTGCATTGAATGGTGATAAGCATTATTTGTAACCGCAGCTTTTGCTTGATAACTGACCTGTAGTAACTTGCGCATCAAAGGCTGAGAGATTAAAAGGCCCTTTGCAATTTATATGGACATCCTGATGCTTTTCAGGCTCTCCCATTTCACACTGTAGGTCCTCATGACACCCCCCTCACCCCACCAAAAGGAAGACTCACCATCCTCATGCATGGGACTGTTGGATACCAGCCATTACACATGACCTAATTATGTGCTCAAAGGTCACGTTGCATTCTTGAAAATCATAATGGTTTATGGACTTAAAAGAATTGTCGCCACAATCCAGTTAGGGTTAAGTTCCTTTAAGTCAAGTTGATTGCATCTTTTTGCCCAATGTGGGACTTGAACCCACCACCCTGAGATTAAGAGTCTCATGCTATGCCGGCAGAGTTTGGAAATGTGTCCCACCTTGTTCATTGGGGTTTACTCCCTGGATGGGACTGCAATCTGAGATGACTTTCTTAAAAGACCTGTTAGGTATTTAAGGCATTTGTGTGGTTTTTAAGCAGGGCATTGTAGTAAAATATTTTTCAGTGGGGGGAAAAACAACTTGTGTTATGAGAGGCAAAAATCATGTGAACATTTGGAATGAGTAAATGGAGTTCTTCTGTAATTTGTTTCTGTGTAATTTTTATTCTGTATCATTGTGATAGTGACAAGTGCTTTAGCATAAACTGTATATTCTTATTGGAAATTCTTGGATTTATAATGTTCATCTTTATATATGTCTGCCTAAAACAAATTCCTATGGTATTGTTGCCAGATGTCCCATATTTTACAGCCTTGGGGCTATTTGCTTTTAGCATGAGACTGTTTTATGTTTCATCCAGTGAGAAATAAGCAGCAGTAACTACATAGATAATATGGCTTAATATATAATAGGCGGCTATATGGGGAGTACAAAGTGAATATGCACATTCGGGATTGCCGCTCCTTAGTTTTTGAAGATATAGGAAGACAAACTAGATTGTCCAGAAAGAATACATAACTGAGATGTTATTGCCTCCCATGATAAAGTAAGCCATTTACTTACTATGAAAACTAATAGTAGATGAAAGTATGCAAACACCTAATGCACCTGAATTAAGGCTTTGTCTCTGATCTTCAAAACTATTAAGTCACTGTGGAAGCCCAGTTGTGCTCAGTGGGTATCATCATCATCAACATTTCAGATGTTTACCTGCCCCTTCACAATAAAATACAATATTAAAATCAGTTTAGAACCAATTACAGACACAAGAATAGGGTGCGAACTAAATAGTTGCATCTCAGGTGTCATTGTTGCATATGTTATGAGGATAGTGTTGCAAACCACACTGGTGTTCAGTAGAAGGTGAGAGATTGGGAAGAAAAGCAAATGTTGGCCTTTTTCACGATAAGTTCCTTCTCTGTAGGGAGGAAGGGGGTCCTGTGTGAATTGTCACCGCCTACCTCTCCCCTGGCAGGGAGTCAAACTTTCAAGAGGGTACACCTGGTGAGCAGGGCAACCCTCTTGCCAGTCTCTGTTGCCCCCTGAGTACATTATTAGGGCACTCCACTACATTAAATGATCTAATGTGACACTATGCTCCTATGTATTTCAGTAAATATGCCAATTTCTGGTGCAGTTCAGCTAGGTGGACAACATCCTGTTCTCTAGCAGAATAGAGCCAGGCTCACAGTAGGAAACAGTTCTAGTACGTTTGAGCTAAATTTCCTCCAATCATTCCCTGAATGCGGGGAAGTATTTGTCCTGACTCTGAGCAAGCTGGGACTTATAGGTAACAGTGCTTAGGATTTCTGAATTGTTTGGATCCAAAATGTTTGGATTCATCTTATTGTTCCTCACCTCTGTCAAGTGGTAGTTTTCTCCTAGTTCATAAATTTGTTCCCTACGTCTGTTTCAAATGGGACCGCATATTCCAGATCTTGCACATGCCATTCTAGAACTGTATACTGTATGTGATCTCATAAAGGGAGTGAGTCCACATAGAACATTGCATTCTTTTTCCACTAGACTTTCTTGTTCAAATCTCCAGTGCTCCTTAAGGGGCAGGGGGATTAACAGGACCTACAAAGATGGCTGAAAAGATGGCTGTAGAGTTGCCTGAAGAACATCAGCTTATTGACCAGCTATCTTACGAGTATTTTAAGTCCAAATCTGACGTTGATGTGAAACACTATGTGTGGGGATTCAGGTAAGATTTCAATTGGTTCCTTTTAGCTGTACAGTGGTACCTCAGGTTAAGTACTTAATTAGTTCCAGAGGTCCGTTCTTAACATGAAACTGTTCTTAACCCGAAGCACCACTTTAGCTAATGGGGCCTCCTGCTGCTGCTGCACTGCTGCTGCACTATTTCTGTTCTCATCCTGAAGCAAAGTTCTTAACCCGAGGTACTATTTCTCGGTTAGCGGAGTCAGAAAACCACAGGAGGGGAGGGTGCTCTTGTACTTGGGTCCTGCTTGAGATTTTATCAGAAGCGTCCGGGGGACCATTGTGAGAACATGATGCTGGAGTAGATTGGCCACTGGCTTGATCCAGCAGGCTCGGCTTGAGTTTGGATAACTTAGAATGTTCTGTTTTACAAATTTGTCATTCTCTTTCCAGGAGAAAAGACACTGAGCTATATGAGTTCGTTGAAACATTATTCTACCATCCTCTGTTCAAATCAGTTATGATCAGCACCATCACAATCAATGCAATATTTTTGGCCATAGAAACAGATTACAAAGTTCGCTATGAGTCACATTTTTTCCTGGAGGTAACAAGACTCTTGATTGCCTGAACTTTTCATTTTTCTCTATTGTTCTAAAGCCACTTTCTCTCTTCCAGAAGAAGAAAGGAATAAACTGGGGCGGGGGCAGGGGGAGAGTCAAGTACAGAGTTTACCTGGCTCTCTCATTCCTTTCTCCTTTTCTTCTTGACTTCTAGTCAAGTTATGAGTAATGCCTTATATTATACTCTTGTCAAGCAAAAGCATTAAATGGATGGAATACCTTATTCACTATACCTGACACGAGCTTGAATTTAGGAATATGTCCACTATTAGTATTGCTCCATAAAGTATGAATTGGAGAAAGTGTAGGATAAATACTAAGGCCAAAATTTAGCTTACGTTTGTTGTGTTAGAGCTCAAACGAAAGCCTCAAGTCAGCGGTGACTAAGAGTTTCAAATGTTGAAAGAACTCTATACCTATGAGTACGTACCATTGAACCCTACAGAATTTCACTGTTAGTCATAACCAGCTGAATCAGGGTCTCAGTACTCAAAACATTTCACATACGTAATCTCAACAATATTTACAATACCCTATATGGTAGGCCAATATTATTATCCCTAAACACTGATGGTTCTCAGATAATAGTTGTCAGATAATAGTTTCTCTAATGCTCCTCAGATCGATCTGAGTCATAGATTTTCCATTCATGCACTTAACCACTATATTATGTCAGCTTTTTTACTCTCATTACCATCATTTCTGCTGCAACTATTTGACCCTAGCATTGAACACAGAAGTGACACATTCACTGCTCAGAGAGCTTACTGGTAAGTCGAGAAGAGGTTGAAGGGAGAGGACAAAACAGAGAATAAGGAATAACAAATGAGTGCAAGAGTCGAAAATATTTAAAAATAACAATAAGGTTATTACACAATAATATTTCCAGCCTGGCCTTTCACCCTGCAGAGGGCCTTCTTGGTAGCGGCACCCGCCCTGTGGAACGCCCTCCCATCAGATGTCAAGGAAATAAACAACTACCTGACTTTTAGAAGACGTCTGAAGGCAGCCCTGTTTAGGGAAGTTTTTAATGTTTGAAGTTTTATTCTGTTTTTAATGTTCTGTTGAAAGCCGCCCAGAGTGGCTGGGGCAACCCAGCCAGATAGGTGGCGTAGAAATAATAATTTATTATTATTATTATTATTATTATTATTATTGCTGTCCTTGTTTGTGAATTCCAAAATATTCCTGTGCTGGCTTTGGCTGCTTTAATATTTTACATTACTGAAAAATCTTGTTTATGTTGGGAGAAGAATCTAGCTTAGAATAGTCACAAATGCCCTATTAACATGGTTTCAAAACTTAATAGTGATGTAATGGAGCAAGTCTGAGCCTATACTATAAATACTGATAAAAATATCCTGCACCCATTCTAATACATTGAAAGTTTAAAAATTTTCCCATGTGGTTCAAGATATCTCCTGTCTGTAAAATAGGGACATTTGTCAGAAGGTTTATATGAGCTTAGGAAATGCAACTGATTGCCAAATGTATGTGTATTTACAAATGTATATTGTCTTTACCAAATATTTGAATTTACTATCAGCACTATCTGACAGAGGAAATCTATGAGTAGCTATAAATGCAACCATGCACATGCAGTATGTATACCTTTGCAAGACCTGGGATTTCTAGATAGACCGTCAAAGGGCATCATAGTTCAACGACAGGACTTATCACATTGGGTGTGCAATTGGAATAGCTGGCTTCTTTCCAATGATACTGTCTTGCCAAGTCACCTGATACTATCCAATCCTGACATGTTCATTGTGTCATAAGAACATCATAAGAGCCCTGCTGGATCAAAACAAAGACCTATCTAGTCCACCATTTTGTTCTCACAGTGGCCAACCAGGTGACTATGGGAAACCCACAAACTGGACATAACCACACTAACACTCATGATCCTAGCAACTGGTAATCAGAGCCATACTGCATCTAGCTAACACTAGAAGCTACACACACACACACACACACACACACACACACCCCATCATGACTAGTACCACTGATAGCCTTATCCTCCCTTAATCTCTCTAATCCCCTTTAAAGTTGTCCATGTTGGTAGTTATCACTATATATTCTGGTGGCAAATTCCATAAGTTAACCATGTGCTGTATGTCTCTCTGTCATACTCTCTTTCCTCTTCATTGATATCACAAATCTCAAATAGCCCTAAAGCTGCTTCTAGAATATACTTCACATTTAGTATGATGGAAACACCTTTTATCTGACAACTATTTTTGCCCACACTGGTATTCGGTATTGCTAGTGATCTGCCCACCTGCTGATGTTTTGATTGCATTTGTAGGACTCTTCTTTTACAATTGAGGCTGAATAACATTTTGAACTTGAAGTGAGCACACGGTTAATAATTGCTCTCTCATGATTTAGATGTCCTCTTGAGAAACACTTGTTTTTCACACACCTTGGATGTCTTAACTTACATGAAGTCAAGTCAGCTACTGTACACAAATTCTGGGCTTTAATTATATATCCCTGTGACGTGGTAGCAGAAAGAGAAGTCTGGCTACTGTCAAGAAGTCCATTCAGCACTTGGAAACATTTTCCCCCCTTCTAATGTCAAGGTTTTGAGAATGGACGTCAATAAGTTTGCATGCCCTACCTGCACCTTGGCCATTGTGGGAGATGGGCATGCATTTTGCACTTTAATTATCCTACTTGTGCTACATTCCCAAAAGAAAGACATTGTTTACACCATATATGAAAGAGCAGCCTTAAAACCAATGTCAATGTGTCTTTGCTATTATGTTCCCCTTTCGGCTGATCCTTTTGCCTGTTATCATCTTCACATTCATGTGAAGCCGCCCAGAGTGGCTGGGGAAACCCAGCTAGATGGGTGGGGTATAAATAAAAAATTATTATTATTATTATTATTATTATTATTACTTATGCATCATCCCAAAATAAATTTCAAACATGTACTTTTCCCATGTGGGAAATAGACCACACCCCATGGGTAATCTTTTAGGGCAAATGTGATTTCCCTGTCCCTTGTCTTTCTGACATCCTAGGCCTCTGTACTGTGCCTTTGGTGGAGAGGCAGCAATTCAATTCAATTCAAAATAATATTTCATACTGAAAATGCTTGTTGGGAAATATTCAGCATGGCCCTACATAAGATTAAGCCTGATGATGGCCATGTATCTGAAGTTCTTTATTTCTGTAAGAATGAGCCTGTGGTTTACCTAGCAAAAGCCATTTCAGCAGCAACTACACCTTCCCTTGTGGTTCAATCACCAAAATAACTCCTCCTGACAATGCACCTTTGTTCCCTTTTCAGGTAGCAGATCTGATTATTGTGGCCATGTATACAGCAGAGTTTCTGATGAACCTTTACCTGGATCCCATTAATTACTGGAAGGATGGTTATAAGCGATTTGATGCGACTGTCCTTTTCATTGCTTACCTCCCATACACCATTAATAGAAGCAACCCGCAAATGCACCATACTGCAATGATGCTCAAAGGATTCCAGTCACTCCGGGTTCTCAAACTCCTCTTCTACAGCCCAGGGATGATGGTAAATGGATGTGGTTTCATGTAAATACAGCTTGACTTTTCCTCTTCCAAACTGCCATCTCCTTCCCCCGCTGAGGATTAATTCCATTCTCTTTTGCTCAGAGGGTGATTCAAATGTGTGAAAAGCACACAGGAAGGAGTTCTTCCTGAATTGGACCATCTCAGGCTGCATTTCTGAATGCTGCCCAGTGTTTTTGCTTTTGAACACCTCCCCCCCCACAGAGAATATTACCATGAATTTTATTTTATTTGCCCTATTAAATGCCAGTTTTCCATTACAGGGATTTATTCATTTATTTTAAATGTGGGGAAGCTTATGTTAATTCCCATACAATTAACCTGGCCCCAAGTTTCATCAGCAGGGAAGGAAACAAATAGTCTCTGTTTCAGAGTAACAGCACAGTTAGTAGAATTTTATGGTTTTAGATAGGATAAATGTTCATAACCACACGACAGTAGGATCAGCACAGAGGTTAACCTAATCATTTTTGATCAAACTGATGTTTTCTGCATGGTAAAAGACAGTAAGCCCCATTGAACTCAAATTGTTCTGGACTGTGTGCTATACTTGCTGCTGACATCTGTTGTCAGGATCAGGCAATATTCCTAGTTATTAACATGGTTAACCTGTGCAAGTAAATTCAACGAATGGGGATTGCCCTTTTTAGAGCTGAAACTCTAAAAATATGCAAGGAAGATTTGGAAAGGAATTAATTATCATGAAGTGTTGTGTTCTTTTGGTTTCATTATTTTCACAAAGGTAATGCAAATTTTCAATAATAGCATAACATTTATCTGTAGTTTAATGATGTCAAGACACAGAACCTGTAATGGCTGTTATTAATACCACATGACCAGCTTTCATTTTACAAAAGATGTTAAAATCCATTGGCGAAGGATTCTAGGAGATGGTATGAACTGTGTGTTCCCTTCTCTTGCCTGAATTGTGTTTGCCATGTAGAGGGAGCCTGTTTTGTGGATTCTGCTTGTCTGGCCTTGTGTTTTTAGCATTTAAAATGCTACTGAGATGTTACTTGGCAGAACCCTCCCTTGATTAGCTCTTGAACAAAATGAAATGCCTTGAGGTTGCAAACACTTAAGTGAAAGCAGATCTGTCAACCTCAGCCTGAGCTCTGATTGGCTCTTCACAAGCATGTCCTCTTGCCCTTATGTACAACGTTGATTGATCCATATCACCAGGGGGTGGCTTGTTGCCATCCTTTCTATCCCGACAGCATGAGAACTTTTACTCTTGCAAGATTGAATGTACTGCCCTCGGCTGTACTTGAGGGGCGATTCCAACAGTTTCCACACGAAAAATGCTTATGCCCCTGTGGAGATGGCAATACCGAATTGGTGGCGCATGCCCTTCTGGCTTGCCCTCTTTATAAAGACTTGAGGAATGAGATTATCACCCCTCTTTTATTGTCCATTCTGGGTTGCCCAACCACTGCCACAGTGTCCTTTCTCTTGGCTGATCAAGATGAGCAGGTGACAGCAAAGGTTGCAAGGTTTTTAGCTGGGGCAATCATAATAAGATCCACTACAGTCATACCTCGGGTTGAAGTTGCTTCAGGTTGAGCGTTTTCGGGTTGCACTCTGCGGCGACCCGGAAGTAACAGAATGCGTTACTTCTGGGTTTTGCCGCTTGTGCATGTGCAGACACTCAAAATGACGTCACACGCATGCGCAGAAGCGGCAAATTGCGACTCGCAGACGTGGGTTGCGTTCGCTTCAGGATGCGAACGGGGCTCCAGGACAGATCCCGTTCACATCCAGAGGTACCACTGTATTTGACTACTGATTCAAAACCCTAAAATGTATTTTATATAATTGACTTTTTATTTCTTTTCTTTGTATATCGTATTGTTGTTTTGCGTGGCGAGTTCCCGCCCCCCACCAGGATAAATAAAGACACAAGACACCATAATTTAAGGTTAAATGGGCGAATTAGGCCACAACTTTATTGAATTCAGGAATGAGAGGCATTGGCTTAGCCATTGGTCCTATCGACTATCCGGCTCCAGCCCATTTGCTGGAGACACGGGAAGGGTTAACACCATAGAGGGGGAGTCTCCTGCTGAGGCACGTCGACTAGGAGCTCCCCCGGGTCACCGCTCGGGGGCATGCCTTTGGCCCACACCTCCATAGGCTTTGGACAGGGCCACGCCCCCCGGAGTCCTTTATCGGACCACCCTTCGTTCACTGGGGGGAGGTGATGGCGTTCCTCTCCCCCATCCTCTTAACCCCTTCTTACCAATGCCTAACCGCCAATGCCGAGGAGTTGTGACGAGTTGCTATGAGGTAGGCGAAAAACCAAATGGCTGTAAATTGCCAATTGGGAAAAATTCCTACCATGCCCCTTGCGGCGACAGACCGAAGTCCATAGCAAAGTCAGAGACCTACCTAAAGCCTACCCAAAGGGAGGGAGGGTGGGAAAACGTGGGGGCTAGCTGGCGAAAAGAGGGTGAGCCCCCTCTGCGCCGGCCCTAAATAGGGCAGGCCACGCCCCCCCAGCCAGCCGATTGGCTGGCTGGGGGGGGGAGATGCGGACAGGATTCCCCTGCTCTCGCGGGGGCTGAAACCAGCCTCCGCTCATGTGGGGGGGGGCGTGAGTCCGCAACCCCACCTCCTGGGCAGGCCGGAAGTGGCTTTATTGCTATGGCTGATGGCTGATGCAAATAAAGATTCATTCATTCATTCATTCCTGACAGCATGAGAACCTCTGGGGATGCGGATCAATCAGCATTGTCCACAAGCCTTGCTTCCTACCCTCCTGAACAACCTTGATGGCTTTACATCACCAGTGGGTTCTCATGCTGTCAGGGAAGAGAGAAAGGATGACTCTCCCTCACCCTCTCTTAACACGGATCAGTCAACATTGTACATAAGGGCGGGAAGCAAAGCTAGTGAAAAGGCAGTCAGGACTCAGATTAAGGTTGGCAGATAAATTTTCACTTAGAGTTTGCAATGAGGGGCAACTTCCTTCTGTTTGTTGATTTGTTCTGATTAACACGCTGAGGTCTTATGAGGTCACTTACCTCCAAGGTCTTAAAAACGTGAAGTAGGCTTTAACTTCCAAAAACCTGCAATTCTCTCTGTGTGTATAGTTTCTTATAATAATTGAAGTCTGGGGTTTTAAAGTCAGATTTCAAAACTTCTCCTTTTATGTTTACAAGCTAAGTGAGTCATATGTCTTTTGTGAGCCCTGTTTTTTCTGCTGCACTGTTGTGCCTGTGGATTTAAACCCTCTGATCATGCAGTTTTCTACATAACTACCGTATTTACTCGAATCTAATGTGCTGTTGAATCTAATGCACGCCTCAATTTTCAGAACCTTGAAACCAAAAAAAGTATTTGCTGGCGAATGTAAATGTGCCATCGAATCTAATGTACACCTTAACTTTTGCAAAGTAAATTTGCCAAAAAGGTGACCATTAGATTCATGTAAATACAGTAATTAGCAGACATTTGGGAGGGGCTCTCTAGAAAAGTTGGGGTGTTCACAACAATAGTTACCAATTTAGGGAGATACTTGTTTTTTTAAAAAAACTGGGAACCATCTGAGTTTAGTTGAATAGCCAGCTGAATTAATTGATAAATGATCTGTTAATCAATTACAACTAGGGTTGGATGAACCTATGAAGGTCCCATGATCTGCACTATATATTTAAAGTGATATCACAACCACTTTAATCAGTCATGGTTTACACCAAAGAATCAGGAAAACTAGTTTGTTAATGGTGTTGAGAGTTGTTAGGAGGCCTCTATGTTCCTCACAGAGCTACACATTTCAGAATGGTTTGACAATCAGCTCCTCTTCCCAGGGAATTCTGAGCTCTATGAGGGAAGAGGGGTTTTCTAACAATTCTCATTACCCTTAACAAATTACAACTCCCAGGATTATTTTGGGGAAGCAATGACTGTTTAAAGAAGTATGATACAGTGGTACCTCGGGTTACATACACTTCAGGTTACAGTCACTTCAGGTTACACACTCCGCTAACCCAGAAATATTACCTCAGGTTAAGAACTTTGCTTCAAGATGAGAACAGAAATCGTGCACTGGCGGCGCAGTGGCAGCTGGAGGCCCCAATAGCTAAAGTGGTGCTTCAGGTTAAGAACAGTTTCAGGTTAAGAATGAACCTCCGGAATGAATTAAGTTCTTAACCCGAGGTAACTGTACTTTTAAAAATGTGTAGTGAAGATTGGGCCCAAATTTGGTTTCTCTTCTTGTTTCGTCTTTTCCAACATTAGGTTTGGCTCACCACGTTTCTGCATCATGAAAATTTGTTGGGAGTTTTAGTGTGCATTTTCCTAATACATACATTTTTATGCAATTTAGCCTAATGTACACATTTCCCCAAGCAATTCTTGTAAGTTATTTTCACTGAAATATTTGCATGTTTATTTCCCCCTAATATATGCATTTATGTGCCCGTTTTTGGGTTAGATAACTGGATCACAAAATTCAGAGAAGTGGTGAACTGAAGGATTTTGGTTTGTGTATAGTTATGGGGGGAGTAAATTAGGTCAGAATAAAAAACCGAATCAAATTTGCCCGTCCCTTTTTGTGTATTGATATAATCATAAATAAATAATCCATAAATTTGTTTACTTATAAATCTGCAATATTTAGCCATTATAAATGTATGCAGGAGTGCACATATATGCATATATATAGGCACATAAATTCTAACACACTCTGTGCCTAAATACTGTTGACTCATGGTTTTCTCTGGCAACCTTGGAGGTTTAGTTTTCAGTGGGGAGCTAATGTGTGTAGTGGCTGCTCAGCCGCAAGTTTCTGCTTGTCATTAATTGGCTGGGGAAGTTCACCAGAAGTGGGACATTTATAGGCACAAAGCTCTTATAATGATCACTTTTGAGCCTACTTTTGATCTTGGACTTCAGTTATCACCAGGTTTTTATATGCTAATTATCCAGTGTTTCTGGGGGACAAGGTTGGGACGGGGGTATATAAAACTACCAGCAATTTATAGAAGGTAAATCAGGCATTTCCATTTATCTTTGCTAATAATACTAGAAGAAAGGGATACCCCATATAAAATTGGGAAGAGAGAAAACTGATTTAATGCAGTGTATAATTAACTGGTGGAAGCCTCTTTTTTCAATGTTGAATTGACACTGTACATTGCATTTGTGTATTGTATACCACCTCGATATTTAACATGAGATGGCACAATATAAATACTTTTATAAAGAAGTAAACAGCCACTTCATTGATGCATATCTGAGCACACAGAATTGTATAACCTTGAAGTCAAGTTAGTATTTGGGGGGAACAGACACATTTAAGGCTACAATTCTGTGTACACTTACCTTGACGTAAGCCCCATTGAAGTCAATAGCATTTACTTCTCTGAGTAGACATGTAACCTGTGACTCTATAAATGCAACAGCAGACCACTCATGCCTTAGGCCCAGGTAACCCTCCAGGTGCTTAAAGATTTCTCTTTTGAGGAATCATTTGAGGTTCTTTGTAAAGTTCTCTGCATCCTTTTCCTTTAGCCACAACACCGGTAAAATATTATACTTGGGATTTTGGCCCAAAGTAGTGTGACAATTCCCTGTGTTGCTAAGGAAAGCAGTCATCCCCCCCCCCCCAAATATCTTTGTGTTTTAGCGATACTGCCCCTGTCCTGGAAGATGTAGGAGGTTGCATATATCTGTGTGTGCATTATAGTTTATTAACTGCTGTGTAAATTACTTCTTAGCAAAGAAATGGAATTTAAGGCATGAAAAGCACGCAACAACTTCTTAGTATGGTTCACTTTTCTTTATTATAAAAACAACCAGCACCAAACTCATTACAATTTTCTGCCTCCCACCTTGGTGCAATAAATTTCTACCTTGAGGATATAATTTCCTCATTGGTATTCCACACAGAGAAGTTATGTTAAAAAACAATCCTGATGATGATGCATGCTCCGTTTATCTGCCTTTTGGTTTGAAATTAAATGTTTAGAATGCCCAGTTCTGAAAACGACCTTTTAGGATGATGTACTGAGGATTAATCTCCATGCAGTTTACAAGATTGAGAGGCACAAAGCCTCTTCTTAACGACAGGAACCGCTGTGAATTTTTGAAGGCGTAGATGAGGAATGTAAAGATGGATGTGAGGGTAGCAAAGTTATTGGATGCCGGTATTCAAGGGGTGCTTGCTGGCCTGTTGCTACCACCGGCATTTTACAGCTCTCCTTAAGGGAGGCTGACTTTTTAAAGATTGTATCCAAATCCCTGATTGATTGGAGCACCATTACATCGCTTTATAAAAACGTCCCATGCTGTGGAGTGTAAATGGGTTTGTTCCTTCTCATTTTGAGGGCCAGTTCTATTGCCATGATTAAGAGCCTGATCGTGCAAGGTGCTAAGCCCCCCCCCCTTTTTGTGGGGGCATTTATTTATTTGCATATCACTTTTAAAGGCATCATCCTTCCCTGCATTGATCCTGTGTCCAGGCAGGGAGACCTTTCTCCTGCACCCCTACACTTGGTCACTACACCAGTCCAGCATTATGGATTCTTTTGGACTACAGTTCCCATCTCCCCTGACCACTGGTCTTGCTAGCTAGGGGTGATGGGAGTTGTAGTCCAAAAACCAGCTGGCCACCCAAGTTGGGAAAGACTGATCTAGAGTAATAAATGGCTAGACTAACAACAGCTTGAAAGTGGGAGGCATTAGCTCCCTGCACCTTTGCCATCAGTTACTGGGAGTGTCAATAGAGTCTAAATAATCCATTGTGTGGAGGTAGCCAATATTTTAAAAGACACACTGGCCTGAGTGGAAGACACTTCTGTTTGTGCAATTTCTGATAATCCCCCCCTCACTACACCACTTCATGAACTGTTCCTGAAAGTCACCTAACCCTCAAAAGTAGATTTCAGCACAATCAACACAACGGAGGTGGGAAAGGCAAGGCCCATTATGCAAGCAGAAATCTGCTTGCGGTTCTCTGAAAGAAAGATGTCATGCTTAGCACCAGCAGTATAGCTGGAGTAACTGATGCTTCCCTAACCTGAATTACTAACCCCATGTAGACTTGTCACAGTAAGAAGGGAAGTAATAACTTCTCAATCCCACATAGAGTTGTCACAATCAAAAGGGAAGTAGTTACTTCTCAAGGAACCTTCCTTCCATAACAAAGCCACTACAGTACTGTTGACTGCATGCATCAGTAATGTTTATTATGAAGCAGATGTGGGTCTTGTTGGTCTTTTGCACTACGAGAACTCCTGCTTAATATGCCCCTAGAGGAAGCACCGAAAAGCACAGGGTCACTGGGTAAGAACTCTAAACAGAATGAACTCATATAAAGTGCTACAAATTACATCAGAATGTACACTAGACTCTCTGAGGAACGGATGGGAATACTGACTTGGGAATACCGCTTGAGTCAGACTGTTGGTCATGGATCTTGGCCAAGATCACAAACATTTCTATTAACTCAAAACTACAGAAGACTCTGCACTGCTTGAGTATTATATTACTCCAGAGACTGACTAAAGAATGGGCTGGCTGCCTTCCTTTCACTACAGAAAACATACCGATGCCAAATACAAATGCCAGAGGGGTTCTTATATAATCTGCTGGTCCTTTTAAGACAAACATCTGTGACTGCCAACACTGTCTCATACTTCAGATCCCAAATCCATTTGTTGGTCTGTTCAGGTGTCAGTTCCTGGTTAGTGGGTTTGTGCAAAGCCAGGATAAGATGCTCATCTGCCTCTCTTGCATGGCAAAGGAATTTGCTTTGTGCCGTTAGATCAAGGCTATAGTCAGTTTGGCAGTTCCCATGCCTAGTAGAAGCACTTGTAACTGGTGTCAGTAACTCCAGATGCAGCCATGTCTCAGACTCAGAACGCTGTACCTGGGAACCCATTCTTCAGTACAAAACACAAGTACATGGCATCATTTACGAATGATCCCCATGGATGAATTTTGTCATTTTTGCCTAGCACATAAAGAAAGGCTGGGCTCTTTTATCTTCCCCCTGCGGCCCTTGTGGCCCCAAAGCTCTGTTCAGGGGGACTGGGGGACACCTCCAGAGCAGCAGTAGAAACAGCACAGGGGGCTACAGGGGAAGGGCAATACTGGTGAGATTTTGGATCTTCCCATTGGTGAGGTCCTTTGCTGGATCTTGGTCCCATCAATGAATGAAAGGTGCTCTTCTGTTGCAGAAGCCTAGTTAGGATCCAAGCCATGATCAATATCTGAAAATGGGTCAGGCGAAAGCAACCCCATTAGATGAGTGGAAGTCATTCACAAATGATGCTATGTGTACTGCTGTTTTGTTCCTCTGGAATCAGTTATCAAATGCAAAAGGGGATGAAAGGCCTGAAATAAATTTTAGAATTGCTGGTTCTTTTGAGTGCATCCAATCATGTTAAGGCATGCCTTGCCACTGATGACTTCACTCCAGGAAACAGAAGCTCTGATTGGAATAGAAAGGAAGATCCCCAACCCTACTTCCTACCTGATTTTTTTTTTAATAAACTTTTTTCTTCACATGATGTAAATTGGATTCACTTGCTTTTCTTTTCTCTCTCTTCCCACTCTGCCCAGGTCCTGGTGGCAGCCCTGGCCGAAACTGCCAAAAATGTGATCTACGTTCTCGTGCTGTTGTTCCTGCTCATGTTTATCTTTGCAATTCTGGGTCAGGGTTTGTATGGAGACCCCGAACACGGGGACACACGTAACTGGGGCACCCTAGCAGCCGCCTTTTTCACTCTTTTCAGTTTAGTGACGGTAATTATCCATTCTCGGCTAGCTCTGTCCCACATTGCTTTTATATAATGGCAAAATCAATTTGAATAGAAACTATTTCAGGGTGTAACTAGGTCTAGATCTGTTATGTTTCAAGGTTTTTTCTTATTTTAAGGACAAAGGTAGTTTCTGGGAGTGGTCTACTTAAGATGAGGAACATGGTTCTTAGGATGGTTGTTTAAGCTTTCCCCTTGCCATTGTTCCACTCATTCAAAAATCCTCCCTAGAGATGCTGTTTGCCCCATAAAGCAAAACATGCTGGTATCACGCTGTGCCATTGAACACTTGAGTGTGTCTTCAGTCCAGCTATTTTTCAGACGACTGTAGAGTGGGTGCAGTTTGCATCTCATCCCCATCGTTATCCCCATCATTATTTTGCCAATGAACCTAATTTTCCTTCAACATTCCCCACAATATCTGGACAAACTTTGAGAACGGTTTTGTGGCTTCCCTCCCCCCATAATCAATTGTCCCCCCGCCAATGTTTATCTTTGTGCACATATAGTGCAAACACACCAAGATGGGCCCCAGAACAAAGAAGGGTAATAAGGTGAAATGGGACAAGGACAAAAGCGTGATCAAGATCTCAGAGACAATAATGATTGCCCCAAACAATTCCTGCATGAAGCAGGGGGTTGGGCTGATTACCACCAAAGGATCTTCTGATTCTATCAAATTACTGTTAATTAGTAAGAGCAGTTGTTTTAAATCTGAAAGTATAGGCATGGATCAGTGTGTGTGTGTGTGTGTGTGTGTGTGTGTGTGTATGTGTATGTGTGTTGGGAAGAATGTATTGCATTGAGGAAGGCAGAAAGGCAAAAAACCCCCAACCAAACCAAGCCTTCAGTCTTGTTAATTTCATCGCTGCCACCAGGTCAATATCTTCTACCACCATGGGCCCTCAGCCGCCTGCACTAAACAGCCTTCTAAGCTTTCCCCTCTACCATAGAGTGGTTTGGCACTTAGCTTGGGGTGAATAACAAACTCACTGACCCCCCCCCAAAACCCCCCAACCTTTAATTAAGGTTTTAGTAAAGCAACATTAAACAGCTTGTGAGGAAATAATTTTAGATTTTTAAAATATATAGAGAGAGAGATAAATGCACCTGAGATAAATGTACCTGTTCTAGCCTGTTTCCCCAACCAAGCCAATGCTTATGAATCTGTACCCCCCTGCTTATATAGGTTCCTCTGTGCCCATATGCTGACTCGTTCTGTTGTAGTGCCCCTTTGAGCTGCCAAACATTTTCTAGTGTTCCAGCACTGTTAGTGTTTCAGCCTTTTTGCTCTCAAATCTCTATCTCTTCTCATCTTTTCATCTCTTCAGTTAACTATGCTATTTTCCAACTCAACTTATGCACCAATATTTTCACGCCTCTTCCCAATCTTTTAGCAAATTGGAAGGAGAGAAGATTCCTGGTTAAGTTTCTATCTTCCATAATTGCCAGGTTCCTCTGTGCAGAGCTTCCCCGCGTACATTTAACGTTATTCAGAACTTTTACCCCTCTTGTCCAGAAAAGCCTCCAACACTAAGCAACTGTTTTACAATCGGAGTCTTACAACCCCAAATTAAATCACTATGATTTATATGAAACTTGGTTGATTCTTCTTTAGAGTTTAATCACTGATCTGATGACCTTTCAGGTTGATGGCTGGACAGACTTGCAGGATGAACTGGATGCCAAAAAATTTGTTTCAAGCCGGACATTCACAATAGTGTTCATTCTCCTGGGATTTTTTGTGTTTTTCAACATGTTTATTGCAGTTGTTATCATGGATATTCAGGTAACTTGCCTTTGTGTGGCAGAGATAGCAATTTTATCTCTGTATAAATTCATTTATCTCTGTATAAATTCATTTGTTTGATAACCAGCACTTACTGAGTTCCCACAAAACTGCTATGCATGTGAACTATTTGTGACTGAAAGTCTGCTCTGATTAGTGAATTTTAGTCTAAATCCTATGTCTAATTTTCATCCAATTTAGGCATATCTTTTATCTATATACTGCAAAATGGGTATAGTGACACACGTGATTAATAATAATAATAATAATAATAATAATAATATATTATTTATACCCCGCCCATCTGGCTGAGTTTCCCCAGCCACTCTGGGCGGCTCCTAATCAAGTGTTAAAAACAGTACAGCGTTACATATTAAAAACTTCCCTAAACAGGGCTGCCTTAAGATGTCTTCTGAATGTCAGGTAGTTGTTTATCTCTTTGACATCTGATGGGAGGGCGTTCCACAGGGCGGGTGCCACTACCGAGAAGGCCCTCTGTCTGGTTCCCTGTAACCTCACTTCTCGCAATGAGGGAACCGCCAGAAGGCCCTTGGCACTGGATCTCAGTGTCCGGGCTGAACGATGGGGGTGGAGACGCTCCTTCAGGTATACAGGACCGAGGCCGTTTAGGGCTTTAAAGGTCAGCACCAACACTTTGAATCGTGCTCGGAAACGTACTGGGAGCCAATGCAGATCTCTCAGAACCGGTGTTATGTGGTCCCGGCAGCCACTCCCAGTCACCAGTCTAGCTGCCGCATTCTGGATTAATTGCAGTTTCCAGGTCACCTTCAAAGGTAGCCCCACGTAGAGCGCGTTGCAGTAGTCCAAGCGGGAGATAACTAGAGCATGCACCACTCTGGCGAGACAGTTCGCAGGCAGGTAGGGTCTTAGCCTGCGTACCAGGTGGAGCTGGTAGACAGCTGCCCTGGACACAGAATTAACCTGCACCTCCATGGACAGCTGTGAGTCCAAAATGACTCCCAGGCTGCGCACCTGGTCCTTCAGGGGCACAGTTACCCCATTCAGGACCAGGGAATCCCCCACACCCATCCGCTCCCTGTCCCCCAAAAACAGTACTTCTGTCTTGTCAGGATTCAACCTCAATCTGTTAGCCGCCATCCATCCTCCAACTGCCTCCAGGCACTCACACAGGACCTTCACTGCCTTCACTGGTTCTGATTTAAAGGAGAGGTAGAGCTGGGTGTCATCTGCATACTGATGAACACCCAGCCAAACCCCCCTGGTGATCTCTCCCAGTGGCTTCATATAGATATTAAAAAGCATGGGGGAGAGGACGGAACCCTGAGGCACCCCACAAGTGAGAGCCCAGGGGTCTGAACACTCATCCCCCCCCCACTTTCTGGACACGGCCCAGGAGGAAGGAGCGGAACCACTGTATGACAGTGCCCCCAGCACTGTTCTGTTAGATCTGTTAGATCTGTCATAGTCCTACTGCAAGCTGAAAAGTCTTGTGGGATGAACATTAATGCCAAAAGTGTATACAGTCGTACCTTGGAAGTTGAATGGAATCCGTTCCAGAAGTTTCTTCGATTTCCAACACATTCAGAAACCAAAGCGTGGCTTTTGATTGGCTGCAGGAAGCTCCTGCAGCCAATCAGAAGCCACAGAAGCCCCACTGGACGTTTGGCTTCCAAAGATCGTTTGCAAACCAGAACACTCACTTCCAGGTTTCCAGCATTCGAGAGCCAAAATGTCCGAGTATAAAGGCATTCAGGATCCAAGGTATGACTGTATAAACAATTACTTCAAATATATTGATGCTGTTACTTCTGCAGAATGATATATCACTACTTTGGCATGAAGTACAAGGGATATGGTTATGAACTGGGCTGCTCTACTATACAAAGTATCTAGAACAGTTTGTCTACCAGTAATAAATGCTGATTAATGGGATATCCAAGGCAGAGGATCACCTTGGCTCTGTACTTAAGGAGGCAGGGAAGGGTGTAAGGAGAGGGATTACACATACCTTATTCTTTTACTGGTTGAGAAAATAAAATTTCCTGACGATGTAGTAAATGAACAGGAGCTTTGTCTCAATATATTCTATCACCCTTTGTTTTGATACAACCAGGGGACAACTGATGAATATGAGCAAAAGCTTAAAGCAGACAGGCATGCTGCTCTGATGGCAAAAAAGCAGTCCATTCTGAAAAGACAACAGGACGAAATAAAGGCATTACTGAATCAGCAGGTTAGCACATAATAATGTTACATTGCAATAAGGGCATACTTTTTAGTAGATGATTCCCATTCAGTTAGTCTCCATTAATTCACAATGAATGAATAACCGACCAAGAAAATAACCCACCTGTGGAGAATTTTAAAAGTAAACCAAGTTGTAGATTTTCACGTCATTTAATGCTCAGACTGAAGTTGTTCATTTAGCTTATAAAGTGGAAAAGCCACAGCTGTGCTCCACTCTGTGGGCCACAGAGCCCAACGCTGTACAGAATATTGGGTCCAGAGAGAACATTATACCTACCTTTCAAGCTATAAAATCTAAATAGACTGTTGAAATTGTCCGAGCATATTCAAGTGTTAGTCTTGTAGCTGGTTAGGGCTGGGATTGTTACATCTCCTGAATGAACTAGCTGTGGCTTATTAATTTTAGTTAATAGGCTTTTTGACCGCTTTTAAGGCAATATTGCATACCAAAGCAGATATACAACTACATATCCATAAAACCCAAGAACAAAACTATTTAAAACAATGCAGATATCCAGTTCTATTCCCAAAATATACTAGTTTGCATACCAGAAAAGAAGTGGCTTACCTAACTCTGAAAAACAGCATTCATTATCCTAGATTGAAAAATGGTTATTAAAGCCTGTTTAAAATTAACGAGGGATGGAGCCTTGGGCATCTGTGGCAGAGAGCAAGGAAGTCCCCTCTGCCGCTGGATGAACTGTAGTATCCAATTCCCAGCTTTTATTTTTATTTTTTCCTGTTTCAGGCATCTGTAAAACACGAGATGTGGTGCAACATGTGTTTTCCTTTGTTTTGTGAGAAACTAACTTGCTCCCACCTCTAGGGGTTTTTGGCCAATGAATGAAGTCATAGCAGTGATTGACATTTAAGAAACCAGATTGTTATGTACTGAGTTGAATGGGATCCAAACTGCAGCAGTCTGATTGGTCCTAGAACAATAGGATCCAAAATGCAGCAGTCTGATTGGTCCTAGAACAATGCAGCAGTATGACTGGTTGGCAGGAACCACCCAATCATGCTCCAGATAGAAGTGAATCCACAACCTGATTGGCTTACAGTAGAATTCCGGAATTAGCCAATCATGTGCAGCCCATTGTGTAAATAATGTATATAAAGCAGATACTTCGAGGGGACATTCATTCATTCTTCCTCACCACTATGAGCTGAATAAAGAGCATGAAATCACTTTGCGACTCTGAGTATATTTCACAGATCTAGACAATTAGACAAAGAGAAGGCTAGCTACCACCATTAAGTCTCCAGAACTACCAGAAATGGTAGGCCAGTTATCTCATGTATGTATGTTTATTTATCCCCTGCCCCGCACATGAAACATTCCTGCAGATGCCCATGGATAGAACTTGCCTCACTTGGAATCAAGTTCCATGAATTGGGAAGTGTATTTCTTAAGCTTTCTTACAATTTATACATACACATCCCTTACTCACACATTCGCTCATATCTTCATCTGCAATGGAGTTCCGTTGACCCTTTTTGGGTCAATCTGAAGGATCCTACACAGGGCTTTTTTCTCAGTTCTGGCACCTCTCAGGTGGGCACCATTGCCGTTAATAAGAGAACAAGGGAAGCACGCATGGTGAGATCCAGTCACCTCTTTTTCTAGAAAAAAAACACAGATCCTACAGATTTTGGAAGGCATGCAGAAAGGGGGCCATGCAGGGATGCGAGGAGCTCCTTGGGAAACATGGTGCTCAGCAACTTCCTAGATGTCTATGACTCCTCCCTGACAAAACCCAAACAGTGTCAGTAATGGAATATGGACAAACTTCATACAGTTTCTAAAGGGCTACCCATATGGTGCCCTTTTTAAATCCCACAAAACGTCTCCCAGAAATTCAAGGGTAAGATGGACCAGTCCTGATCTGGATGTGACTTCTGTTACTTTAAAACATAGGTAGGGCACCTCAAGACTGAGAGCCACATGCAGCCCTCAAGTTATCACTATCTGGCCCGCAGAACATTCTCCAGGCCACACTCCTCCCAGGCCACCTTTTGTACCCTGAATGCTTGTGCCTGACTAGTATGTGCTCTTGAACTCTGATAATGCCTCGTGCTTGTCTCTATGGAGGACATATAGGAGATCTGTGAGTGTGTGTAGAAACTCGCCTCCCATTCAAAGGTAAGCATTCACATTTGTTGCTCTACCTCCTTTCCCCTCTGGCCCTGCCCATCACTGTCATATGGGTACCAGAAGGTTGTCCCCTGGGCTGAAAAATGTCCCACCCCTACACCTCTGCCAGCTTTAAAGCATAAAAAAACTCACCCCCTTTCCAATGTTGCTTATTTGCCTTTTGTGGAAGTTGCTGGGAGTATAACCAGCTCTGTGAAGCCGAATGCGGCATTGTAGCACTGGCATTAAACCGGTTGCCTGTCTTTTCACACCAGAAATCAACAGAATATAGAACCTTTGATGAAATGGTGGAAAGCTTCAAGAAAACCCTGTATCACACAGATCCCATGATCTTAGAAGATTTTTGTTGCAGCCTGCCGTTCATCGATCTATATTTGTCATCTTTGGATCGTCAGGACGCCACAATTTATAAGTATGCAACACTTCCTAAGTCAACCGTATAAGGGTTAGATCATGTTCATATTAATAGTTATTTCACTGCAGCCAACGCTAATTATTTTAAATCCTTAACACTCCTGTGCTGTTTGTACTGAGATCTAACAGAAATGTTTTTTTTTAAGTGTGTGGCATTGTTTCCTAAATACTGTGAAGTTAAGGAATTCTGAATGTTGGTTGGCAATGGTATGATTGAATGCTTCCGAGGGGGCAAAAGCATTCCTTGCATGTAGAAAGCTAGAACTTCAGGAAGAAGGGTTCTGGGATAATCTTCCCAATCTTTCCAAATGCAAGGAGTTTTTGAAATGGAAGGCAGTCTAATGTTTGAAATGGTCTTGCCATAGGAGAGGTGTAAAACATTGTTTTTTGTGTTTGAATCAGCACTCTGAGAGAAAACCATGTTTAACAGCTTTGCAATGACAGGACCATTTCAAACATGTAAAAACTGCAAGAACAGAAGCTTCCCAGTCAGGGTATTTCTGTTCAAAACAAGGAAGGAATGAAAAGGTGCATTGTAGACTCTTGTTCCTAACAAGTGCATGAACGGTATAGAAGGCACAGCTTCCTGAATAAGCCCTACAAAAATACCTTAATACTGGCCATTTAGAGTTAGAAGAATGAAGCTTTGGAAATGATTAAAGATCACACTTGAATATTTAGTCACATTTTAAACTCTGTTTTGCCAACTGATGCATATGGATCTTGTGATAATTTGTTCCTACTGATGAAAATGTTGTAGACCTTTGGAAGAGACTTAAGAGGCTGAATGTAAGAAGCCACTGGGGCTGTTTCTTGCACCTTGGAAACATTGCTTCCAGGATCCAAAAATCTGTGATCGTGTAAATCTGTGTGTGATGAATGTTATATTGCTCTTTATTTTAAAATAATTCTAAGCTGCTTTTATATTTAAGAAAATGCATCAACTGACTTGCTAAAAACAACAAGACTATAACTCAAAGCAGCAGAAAGAAGCAATAAATAAAATTTTAGACTGAGGGGATCAATATATAAACTCACACCGTCCATACAATACATCTGCTTTGTATGCAGAAGGTCTAAGGTTCCATCCCTGGCATCTCTAGGTAGGACTGGGAAACTTTCCTGTCTGAAACCCCGAAAAGCCGTTGCCAGTCAGTGTGGACAACACCAAAAAACATGGACCAATGTGAAGAGCTCCCAAATGCCCTCTCCAAATTGAGTACAGTGGTACCTCGGGTTACATACGCTTCAGGTTACATATGCTTCAGGTTACAGACTCCGCTAACCCAGAAATATTACCTCGGGTTAAGAACTTTGCTTCAGGATGAGAACAGAAATCATGCAGCAGTGGCAGTGGGAGGCCCCATTAGCAAAAGTGGTACCTCAGGTTAAGAACAGTTTCAGGTTAAGAATGGACCTCCGGAACGAATTAAGTACTTAACCCGAGGTACCACTGTAAATGGACAGTAAAAAGGGAAAGGCAGTTCAATGTAAGCAAGTGTAAATTGAAGCATGTTGGGGAGGAGGAATCCCAATGGGGTCTGAACTGATGGTGACTGACTAGGAGCAAGGCTTGGGGTTGTAGCTCAATGAAGATATTGACCAAGTGTACAGCAGCCGCAGTGAAAAAAGCAAATTCCATGTTAGGGAACGTTAGGAAAGGGACTGAAAAGAAAACTTCTATGGTTGTAATTCTGTTATACAAATCTAATGCACAACAGCACTTGGAATATTGTGCTCCCTTCTGGTTGCCTCACCTAAAAAATAAAAATACTGTGGAGTTGGGAAAAGTCCAGAAAAGGACAACCCAAATGATTGAGGGAATGGAGAAACTTCCCTATGAGGAAAGGTTACAGCATCTGGAACTTTAGGCTTAGAGAAAAGGATAGTGAAGGGTGACCTGATAGAAGTTTATTAAAAGTGGCTAGAGGAACTTTTCTCCTCTCTCCTAACATGATAAGTCCTGGACATCCAGTGAGGCTGAATGCTGGAAGATTCAGGATAGATAAACAAAAACACTTCTTCCCACAGCTAAACTATGGAACTTGCACCTGCAGGAGGCAGTCATAGCTACTAACTTGGATGGCCTTAGAAGAGGATCAGATAAATTCATGGGGCATCAAGACTGTCAACAGCTACTAGCCATGATGTCTATGCTCCACCTCTGTTGTCCGAGGCAGTGTGCCTCTGAAGTGGTTGCTGGGAATCACAGTGAGGGGAGAGGGCTCTTGTGTCTGGGTCCTGCTTGCGGGTTTCACCACAGGCACCTGGTTGGCCACTTTGAGAACAGAATGCTGGATTAGATGGGCCACGGGTCCAGTGACCCAGCAGGCTGTTCTTATGTTCTCAAGACCTGTTGTAGCATCATGAAATGAGCATTGCATGTGTTTTGCTTGTTTTCTCATTCCAGGCTGCAAAAATTGTATTATGAAATTGTTGCCGTTTTGACTAATATGCTGCAAGAAGCAGACGAAAAGCCTTTGCAGAGCTTGCAGACTCATAGGTGAAGACCTGAGTTTCCTGCTACCTAACGAAAAAGTGTTTTTTCCCCATTTGAAAAATCTCTTGCACGCTCCTTAGCAATTAGCAAAATGAATGGAAGACCTTCCAGCAGAGCTAGAGTTTTACTTTGTTTGTATTCACATCTTAGGAAATATAAACGTAATTTGGCTGCTTTGCTAATGCATCCTTGTGTTTGCGGCTGTATCTCTTTCCATCTTTATAGGCTTAGGTCAAACTGTTAGATCATATCGTGTGATTTTTCCTGAGGCCATGTGGTAGCTTTCAACTGGTAAACCCAGATGGGTTGCAAACTAATGGAGTCATTCTGTGTGTGCAGGAGAGTTTTTGGGTTGCTGTGGGGAAGGGGAAGGATCCCATGATTGTGTGCAATTTTGTTTCTCACAGCACAGAGCTCAAACAAGGGCCTCAGCCATGACCACCACCTATAGCAGCCTTCTCCAACATCTACTGCCTTCCAGATGTTTTGGACTACAAGTCCCATCAGCTCCAGTCAGCATGGGCCACAGTCAGGGATGGTGGGACGCCTACCCCAAAACAACTGGAAGGCACCAGGTTGGGGAAGACTTACTCAACTCAAAGGGCACATATGAACAATTGGAGTGCATGGTAGAATTTGGGTTCCTGAATGCATTTGTCTCTTGAAACTTCACTTAAGCTGGTGCACATTTGATTTACTATTTGCCCAGTTGACATGGGTTGGGCACTGATGTGAATGGTTACATTCTGGATTCTTGGTGCCACAATGGAGATGATTATGTCAACACAGTTGGAGCCATGAATTGCCCTCAAGGTGAGATGCTTCACTTCTGTAACTTCCTCAACATACATGTATATTTTCTGGAACTTTCAAGGTAAATAATTCTGTGGATATATTCACATTCATTTAAAGGGAAAACATGCATACACACATATACATCCATTTCAACTTTATCAGGTTATTTCTCAAATAACAGCCAGTCTTGGGTTTCCAATATCTCAAATCTCCATACTTTGCATCTGATTACTAACGAAGATTTCATGCTTCAGAAACAACAGCTTATGTTGTAAGATTCTGTAAAGGCTGGGATCCTTTGTGTTTGTTTATACAAGAGAATTCTGTTTCCTTGGAGGCTGGTGGAAGCAACTCAGTCTTAATGTAGTGTATATACACAGGGGCCTATACCATATCTATTCCAAACGTATCCTTTATCCCACAAGGAAAATGTGTGCAGCATATTTAGAGCGGGGATGGTCAATGTGATACCCTGCAGATGCTGTTGAACTCCCAACTCTCATCAGCCCCCGTCAACATGGTCTATAGTCAGAAATTATGGGAGTTGTCATCCATAATATCTGGAGGGCACCAAGTTGGGCTACCCCTGGGTTACAGCAAGCGCTACTGCAGAGAAAGAGTCTAGCTGATATACTGTGACTTCCCAGCTATCTTGAGAGGCAATGCTATACTTGGAAGGGAATCCACTGAAACACATGCTTGGGGTTATACACTTAGCCATTTTGGACAAGATGGAAAAGATTCTCTTTAGTGATTAAGTCCATTATTTTGGAGCCATGGGACACAAAGCCCATTCACACAAAGGATGTATCAGATGGTGAGCATATGCCCTTCTTGAATTAGCCCCAAACTATGAGAAACAGCCTAGAGACACTGTTGGATGGAGAACTGTTCCGTTCTTGAAGTATTTTGAGAATTTCATGGATGGAATTTCCCTCCCAAGGGGGGAAAAGGTGATAATATTTGGTGCTGAGTTTTCTGACTCACGTATCATTTTTATTTTACAGCTGCGAAGCACTTTATGATTATATGTAGTGGATTGGTGTATAATATTACAAAAAGAACCACTTGAAAAATGTCCTTTATAATAGTAAGTGGTTAGACTGGGTCACCCTATGCCTTTTTAGTAGTAAAATAAATTAGAAACAGACGTGTACAGTATCTAATTCTAGGCTCAAAAATGTTTGAAAAATGATGCTCATAAAGAAAAACTATTGACACTTTCTGAGAGAGATATGGGCTGACTTTAAATATATATAACAGAGCAAGTTGAGTTATCCTTCTGCAGTTATTTTTCTGAGTACAACTCACTCCACCAGACTGGGTATTGGTTTGCACACACAGCTAAATCATTTCGGGGCTAGTTCTTCCATTGTCAACAACAAATTCCCTTCCATGGACCATTAGTTTTGAGAGGCTATTTCATATATCAGTATCACACAGTGAACATATTTTGTGTTATGTATTAGCTACACACACACAGTTTGCATTGGAGAGTAGGCATTAAAGTGCCTAAATTCCACTGGAGAATGTAGCCTAATCACTCAGTACAATTATTTGCATTGCTTTTGATCACAGCCCCTAAGTAAGATATAGAAACAACCCAAACCTTGCACACCACCCTTGAGAATTTCAGCAACATTTTTCCTCGTCTTTGATAATTTTTAATGGATTTTTTTCTTTTCATTGGTGATGGACACTTTCTCTCTCTCTCTCGCTCTCTCTCCACATACACACACACACACGTCCCAATCCTGATGCACAGAGCAGGCTATTTTTGAAATATTTATATCCTGCCTGTCAGCTTTACTTTTCGAAGTGACATACCCTTAGAATCTATACAATCATAAAACTAAACACAAAAAGACAATAATAAAAAATGAACACCATAAAAATTATAAACAAAGAGCAGCAGCATGCAACAACATCCAATGAGAGCTTGAAGTGAGTTGAAAGCCAATATGCATACACTTAAAAGGTCCTAAACAACAACAAAACCCTGCGCAAGTAGTAGCTTCTGGTATTTGAGAATCTTTCTGCTGAAAAGATGGTTGGCAATGCCAGCACTGATAGAGCTCTCTCACTTGTGTGTACAGAAATGAGGTGACTGGAATCAGTTTCCTTACCTCAGGAGAGGTGAACAGAACTGTCCTTAGCAGCACTGAGCACAGGTATTTAGTGGGTACCTGTCGTTTACCCCTTGCAGCATCTCTTTATATGCAAGTGGCCCGATAAATGGGAGCCTGTTCTCCAACACACAGATCTCCCTTGCTGGGTCAGACCTACAGTGCCATTCTGTAGAACTTTTCAACTTCAAAGGTTTTAAGGACAAATCCATCTGCATGTGCCCATTCCCTACCATTTACTTTCAGATCGACGTTTCCAACTGCAAACAGAAGCTCCTCATAAAAGCCCTAGAGCGGAACCAACCATACAAGTTCCTACTAAATTTGGTTTTCATGTTGTCATTTGTAGCAATGTAATGTTTTACGAAGAACACTTCCTCAAACTTCCGCAGCATAATGAAAACATATGTGGATCTAGAAGACAATATGTGACCGTTTTCATGGAGAGATTATATCGAAACCTCATTTTCCCCCCGTTGACAGTTATATGGGCCACATTTCAGCGAGACTTAACAAATGGGGAAGAATACTATTAAGCATAGAACTTCTCACTTTTACTGTGGCCATGTACATGCTAGATGGAATAATTTATGATTTAATAATTTTTAATTATCTGAAATAATATGAAAGATGCAACAAATGAGATACACTGTATAATTAAATGATAAATTATGATTTATATGGATTGTTGTTGTTTAGTCGTTTAGTCGTGTCCGACTCTTCGTGACCCCATGGACCAGAGCATGCCAGGCACTTCTGTCTTCCATTGCCTCCCGCAGTTTGGTCAAACTCATGCTTGTAGCTTCGAGAACACTGTCCAACCATCTCGTCCTCTGTCGTCCCCTTCTTCTTGTGCCCTCAATCTTTCCCAACATCAGGGTCTTTTCCAGGAAGTCTTCTCTTCTCATGAGGTGGCCAAAGTATTGGAGCCTCAGCTTCATGATCTGTCCTTCCAGTGAGCACTCAGGGCTGATTTCCTTCAGAATGGATAGGTTTGATCTTCTTGCAGTCCATGGGACTCTCAAGAGTCTCCTCCAGCACCATAATTCAAAAGCATCAATTCTTTGGAGATCAGCCTTCTTTATGGTCCAGCTCTCACTTCCATACATCACTACTGGGAAAACCATAGCTTTAACAATCCGGACCTTTGTCAGCAAGGTGATGTCTCTGCTTTTTAAGATGCTGTCTAGGTTTGTCATTGCTTTTCTCTCAAGAAACAGGCATCTTTTAATTTCGTGACTGCTGTCACCATCTGCAGTGGTCTTATTTGGACTAGTGTTAAATTAAATATTGTATTGCCTAGTTTGTGTTGATTGTTGACTACTTTGGAGTTTGCCAGAACATGGATAACTAAACATCTGAGGGTGGTGGAACTATCAAGTGGGGCCCTTCTGCTAATTTTACCAACCAAGAGAATCTGTAGGGAAAGAGGTGGTTTCTCAGATAGTCTGAGCACCTTAAACTAGGCCCAGAATGAAGTGGCAAACAATGCAGTTCTTTTAGAACAGATTTGCCTAACCTCTGTTATATGAGTTTGACATGGAACCCTAGTTGGGTCCAATTTAAATATGCCTGGAAAAAAGACCCAGTGGACTCAGTGGAACTTACTTCTGAGTAGGATTGTGTTGTACAGGGCTGAACAGAAATGTACTCCCAAAATTGGGTGGTAAAATGGGGTGTGTGTGTGTGTGTGTGTGATTAGATGGCAATAGGTGAAATTCTACAACAGTTCTTCTTAGAAAATTCTCCACAAATACTCCTCTGCAGAGGAAAATGTTATACCTGGAATTAAATATTCATCGCTCATGTAGTGTCAGAGAAAAATTAGAAGATGCCTATCAAATTCTGGGAGATAAAAGACTAGGAGTAAGCATGCCCTCCAGCTAATATGTTCCTGCGAGATAAAAAGACAAACTACAAAAAATATGTGTCTGATGTCTGAGATCTGGTCTAGACATTACTTTCACAATAGCCCTGTGTTGCATTTCCATTAGGGGACTGGATCATGGTGGGGAGAGGGGGAGGGGGAATGGGAACAAGTGCAGGGCACTAAAAAGTGGAGGGAGCCTCCATGGAAACAAAAGGCTTCCTGTTTCAGACAGGGTAGATCAAAAATAGTTTGAAACTAGGAGATAGGAAAGGGGAACCAGAACCCAGATCTTTTCAACTGGATGAATATTAACTCCCTGCCCGCCCCAGCTTGTATGGCCATCTGTTACAAGCATTTGTGCACACCTTGATCAGAAGACTCAAAACCAGTTTTA